GATCTAACTCCTCCCACCTTACATATACCTAAACCTACCCGTCTCCACCCCCTCCACCCCTAAACCCACCCATCTCCGCCCCTAGATGTGGATCCAACCACGGCCACTGGATCTTGTGTTCTGCTGTGAGGGGCTACTGCCTAGGATTGTGGTCCTGAATCTGCTAGTCGATCTGGGTAGATCAGGAGTTATTTGTATAATTCATGCAGCATGAAGCACCATTGGTGATCCACATGCTGTCTCACTTAGAGTGATGGATTATGAATTGCCTCTGTCTGTAAGGTTCATTGGATGTGACTTCTGACTCTCCTCTTGTTTCCAGGCACTGAAAACACATCTCTCCAGATCCTGGCTCTTGTGCTCAGCTTAGGATACTTCCTCTTTGACATGGCTTGGTGTGTGTATTTCCACACTGAGGGTCCAGTGATGCTGGCCCACCACACCATGAGCATCCTTGGAATCGTGCTGGCACTAGGGCTGGGCGAGTCGGGCATCGAGACCTGCGCTGTCCTGTTCGGCAGTGAGATCACCAACCCGCTCCTGCAGGCCCGCTGGTTCCTCAAGCGCATGGGCCGCTATGAGAGTTTAGCAGGAGATGTGGTGGACCTGCTCTTCATTCTTCTGTTTGCCTCTGTGAGGATTGGTGTTGGGAGCAGAATGCTGTATTGTGAATTAACCTCTCTGAAGCCATCGCTTATAGTGAAAGTTGCTGGAGTGGCTATTTACACTCTCTCCTGGATCTTCATGATAGACATTGCACGTTTTGCCTGCAAGAAAACTCGCGCCAAATACAGGCGATGGAAGGAACAGTACAAGCTGGATGATGCTAATGGACATGCTGTTAAAGTCAAATAGGCCTTTCTATGCTTTAGAACTGAGAAAATGGCATTTTTGCTGATATAGCTAGAAATATTTTGTTAATTTAACAGGGTTCCATTTTAATGGGTATTTAAAAAACTCACAAAAGGTGACATATATAAAACATACCTAGAAAAATGTAAATCCAGTATAGCTATTCCTATCATTTCTGATTTTTTCAAATTTGATTAATTACTCTGCAAATTATCCATGTCATATAAAGATTTTTCTTAATTTGAAAATGACTTTTCAAATATATATTATGATATTACTAATTTCCACTACATATGAACATATTATTAATTTCCATTGCTTTTCATAACATATTAATAGCCTGTATTATTAATTTCTGTGACATATTAGGATTTTTTTTTATTTTCACAACTGTTGCATGACACACTAAGAATTTTATTTTCATGACCCTCATTTCCGTGACGTATTAAGATTTTTTAATTTCCAAAAAATTTTCATGAGATAATAGGATTTTAATTTTCACGACTTTCCCATCACCTATTAAGATTTTATTAATTTACATTACTTTTCCATAACATATTAATATATTATTATTTTCCCATGACATATTAAGATTTTTTTATTTTAAGGTTTATTAAGATTTTATTAAATGTCCAGACTTTTCTATTAAATATTAAGATATTATTAGTTCTCATTTCCAAAACAAGCAGGACTTCCTCAGACAGAACAGTACAATGGCATTACACTCATGGTGCAAATCTTCTAATGCTATTGAGCCTGTCAATGGGAGAAGGTGTCCTTGCACAATGTCATTGCTTGTTACTGCAAAAGATGGCAATGTATTTCCTCAGCAGGCAGAAAGGAGCTTCAGTGATATTTGGAGACTAAATACAATGCTGCTTCCAATGTGCAGATTTTGGAAACGCACTCACACAGTTTCTCCACCACCCTCTTCTCAAGCATATCTGCTGCTTTTCAACTTCAATTCACCACTAACATCTTGGTCTTGTGGATTTTCAGATGCAAGTGGCTTCTTGTCACACTGCAAGACCACTGGCTTCCTATGTAATTTACACCTGTTTATCCTTAAAGCTGCTGAGTTATGGTTGTTGAACTTAAAAGAACAGATTTAAGCAATTTATAGGGACAGTTCACCCAAAAATTCAAGCTCTCTTATCATTTACTCACCCTCAAGTTGTTCCAAACCTGTATGAGTTTCTTTCTTCTGCTGAGTAGATATTTTTATGAATGTTGGTAACCAGACAGTTGATGTTAGCCATTGGCTTCCACGGTATTTTTTCCCATTCTTTGGAAGTCAGTGGCTACCAAACATGAGTAAACTGTAATAGAATTTCCATTTTTGGGTGAACTATCCATTTAAACATTTTGTGTGATCTGTTTGAGCGGGTACTACTCTCTCTTACCTGAAGCAAAGGCTTTTGTTACAGAACAGACCCTAAACAGGAGGCAGGAAGCAATGTGATTGGTTGTAATAGCCACTGTATCCAAACAGCAGAGGAACTCTGAAATGTCAAAAATTGCAAACTATTTTGAGGATGCAAGAAGGCTGTTTACTATGCAGATCTTTTAGACAGTATGCATGAGTCCATATGAATAAAGCCTTGCTGCACAAACAAAATACTGATATATAAAATACTAAAGATACATTTGTGGATTCAGATGAAAAGGTTAGTTGTTAACCAACTGCTTATTTGTTGGTCTGGTTTTAGACACAATGTGAAAATAATAATAATTATATATATATTATATATATATACAGTTGATTATTGCTAGTTACTGGGTTCACAGACATTGAAAATATGATATTCGTCCATTGGTTTGAATGCTTCAATTGCTAATGTTTTAGTTTGTTTTATAGTTCCTACACCAGTAGGAATAAACAGCTAGGTGGCGCAAAAGATTTAAATATGCTCCTTTTGATAACTATTGACAAATAAATCACAGCTTTATTGTATCAGTCTGTCTTTCATTCCAAAATCTGTTTTTTTTTCTGTACTGCTTTTATTTCTTTTATCTTTGTTTTCGTCATACTTCGGTTACAAAAGATAACTTATCTCTCACGGTTCATAACATATGGCCAGATTTTTTTTTTTATTGAATATTACAATACGACGGTTTATGCAGAATATATTTTTGTACATCGAAGTTGCCAATTATTTTCTAATATGCATAAATATTTAAATATTGATCTGCTTCTTCATCAGAATGCATCTTTTTTCAACAATCACTTTGTTTACTCTTTCCAGGATCTGGCTAATCTGTATTAATTTACTGCCTACTAGTTGGTCAGTACTTAACACTTAGTCTACAACACTTGGGAGGCGATATTACTGTTTGCGGAAGGATACTCCAAAAGGTGGTGATGCGTCGCAGGCGTAGGAATCCGGGATGTGATTTTACTGAAAGTCGGGAATTATCAGGATTTTTGTGATTTTGTTTTCTTAATAGTTTTTAATCTTCGTACAGCGCGAAACTGACACATGTGACAACGCACATGTGTGTGTTTTCTTGATTTGCCTTTGTATAGAGACAGAGTCCTTAGTGTACAGATTTAGTTGGAAAAAGAACGGCTAAAAACTACTGAATTTCGGAAAACATGGAGACAAGAAGGGAAGGACCCGACTAAACCAAAGTTTCCAAACAAATTATTACAAGAACAGAGGGAATCCGCTCGCGAGAGGAAAATATGTGTTGCACATCCGTCAAGTTTGGATTGTATTTTATTGCCGCGTTGAAACGAAGCTGTTTTGAGCAGAATTCCTGAACTGGGAACTAAACCGCTGCCCCTAGAGCAAACATCAAACGATTTGTATAGTTTTCTCCCGATTTTGGAGTGGAAAATATGGGAATTCTGGAAGTTGGACTAGGTAGGGAAGGGATTACAATGAAAGGTTGAACCGTGCGGATGATGCTTTAATCCATCCGTTGAGTGAATTTTCCCAGATTTCCACACATTGAAGTAGCCAGGATACACATTCTTCTGGAGAAAAAGTCCATTCAGCGTGTAAGGGGCCTGAAAAGGATGTATATTTAGTTTACATACTTACTTTACAGTAGCAGTTCAATTGATGGTGCAGTCAGTATTGCAAATTTGCGGAGTTTTTTTTTTACAGTACAGAAAATTCCGCGTTTTGGATTAGGTTCGTTTTAGGAATGCCGAGCTGGAAGTATTTCAGTGAGAGAAATGAAAGAAACCCGTCGAGACGGACGAAGTAACATTCGGGACTGTAATATGAGCGAAATGCAGCAGGACAGTCTCCTTCATTCGTGAGGCAACATATTAACAAAAGATTGTTTCTCTGGCTTTACTTCCAGCCGTGGTTTGGGATCGACAAAGACGACTGTATCCAGACAGAGGCGAGGGGAAGCCTGTCGGTCGGTGTGGTGGCATTTTAGCTGGGAAAATAATGAAGCTTCTCGGACAGAACAGAAAGCGTTTAGCTCCATTGATCATATGTGTGTTTGCGTTTAGCATCGATTTCCTTTACTAACTCTTGTGTTCTGTAGGGCTACAGTCAAATGACTTCGGGAACCAACACAGACAATCCGTGGAAATATAAAACATAAGCTTGTTTGTTACATTAAAGAGGAGCCTTTACCCTTCACATCAAGACGGAACGGTCCAAATTTAAAAGTGCCACCAGGCTGTTGTTGTTTTTTGCTTATTATTAAAATTGTTTCCAAATACAAAGGTGTTTTACTATGGTAAAATGCTAATTGGATAAGAGCTGAAGAAAACCAAGAAAGGAAAGCCCAATGAGCAGCACACAGTCCACGCTTGCTGAGAGGTAAATGATGACATATAATATTTATTTAACGTTACATGGTTGTGTTTATGATAATGATAGTGACCTGTCTTCGGTTTATGACGCTGTTTATACATATTCAAAACACTATTGTTGAGATTAATCTGGCAGCCTTCAACAAAATATGTGATGGATGCATTACTGTTCATGTGGGAATACACACAGAAAAAATTCACTTACAAAGTGACATGGTTAAGACCATGATGTTTGGACTTGGTATTAGGTAATACCATGGTATTCTTATTACTACCTCGGGATGCTATGTAAAAACTTTGGTATGTCGAAACGCTGTCATTCACTACCATAGGTTATATAAAATACCATGGTATTACCATGTGATACTGTAACTTTACCATGGCTCTACTGTCTGTCACAGAACAAGGGTGTTTTCTTAAAGAGCTCAAAAGTTCTCAGAAATGTACTATGGTGCTACCATATTTTTATTTGAAAATATTCTTTGAAACACCTTGCATTACCATGTAAATATGATTGTACAAGTATTTTTATTGTAATAATCATTTAGTATCCCAGTACACAGCAATGTACCATGGTACTGCCACAGTGCTGTTTATGTAATGCATGTTAGTCACCTGTTGAAATGGGAGAGTAGAAAATCTGCATAAATATCCCCATATAGCAGGGATCCTCAAATCTGGCCCACGAGAACCACTTTCCTGCAGAGTTTAGCTCTAACCCTAATCAAGCACTCCTGAGCATGCTAATCAATGTCTTCAGGATCATTAGGAAATCACAGGTAGGTGAGTTTGATCAGGGTTGGAACTAAACTCTGCAGCGCATTGGCCCTCCAGGGCAAGATTTGAGGAACCCTGCCATATAGCATGATGGATAACATTATCAGTTTTGTTTGAAGTCGTTCTGTCTGGTCTTTTATGTGTTACGTGCAGTCAAACCTGTTTCTCACAATTTTGTGGAGTTGATAAGAATACTGATAGGCGAACTTATGACCTTGCTGCACAAATGTACTTGACTATCTTTCAGATAAACTCAATGTATGTGAATCTACACACTTTGGAGCCGCTGATTTTGTGTGACTGTGTGGTTTGTGTCTGTTGCTTTGTTTTGGCGATGCATTAGTTACCCAGAAGCCGGAGGGCTGACTGATGTGTGTTGATTGCACACACCTGTGTGGCCAGTCTGTCATTCCAGGTATCTCGCTGTGTTCTGCTAATGCTGCTCTTAAGAGCACAGCTGGCCTCGATGTGACTCTCTTGTTGTGGTTTTCCACCTCTTGAATTGTTACCTGTATTACTCGACCTGTAACGCACGCTTCAAAGCACAAAACGCTGAAGCATGCTGGGTAAGCTAATGTGTTGTCGTCGGTGTGCGGAGTTACGCCTTGGTGCATGCTGTTTGACACTTCTGTGTTTTCACACCCACTCTTTTTTTGATTATATCCATTGTGCAAATTGCATGAACACATATGAGGTGCACAGCAGGGCTAAAGCTCTCTCAGTTCAAGTGTCAGAGTCTGAGCAGGGTCTAGCAGGTTTTGTTAGGTGATGTTCTGTGAGAGTGAGTAGGAAAGACAGGTCGTCTCCTTCAGAGGCAAGAACAGGTCACCTGCTCTAATGCCGAGTTCACACTGCACGATTTTAGCCCAATTTTTCACTCGCCGACAGGTTTTGCGAAATCGCAGACAAATGCCTGAAATCGGAGGCAAATCGGTGCTCGTTCACGCGAGTGACAATCACGCAGTGTGAATTATCACAGACGCGATCTGAGAGAATCGCCGACACGTCGTCGACGCCCGTGAAATATTTGGCATGCTAAATATCTGGAGCTGTCGGCGATTCACAATCACGCTGTGTGCAACAATTTCTGACTGAAAAACACATCATTGATGACCTACAGTCAATGAGAGACCAAGATACAGGGCAGCGGGAAGTTTGGGGAGGAGTTATATGAAACGTAGTTTGCCGACCAGTGTTGCCAAATCCGCGATTGCCGCCGGTTGTTTTTTTATGTCAGCAGGTTGAAGCGACCCCAATAAGTGATATTTAGGTCCTGGAATGTGAATTGGACCAGGAGAACCCCGCCAAAAAAAATGTGTATTTTACCCCCGAATGCGATTTTTACTGGGGGACCCCCTCAAAAGCAATTGGGCTATTTTCAGGCTAGTTTTGAGTAGTAATTGGGTGGGTTTTGTAGCGAAAACCTGGCAACCCTGCACCAGACAGAGCTGTCGGCGATTCTTCCTATTGTAAAGTCATGCAGTGTGTAACCTCCTGTCGCCGTTCCAACGTGCAGTGTGAACACAGCAACAACTGAATGCTACCCCAGATAGTCGTTCAGTGTGAAACCAACAGTGATGCGACGTCTTTGAAAATCGTGCAGTGTGAACTCGGCATTAGGTACAGTAGACTAGACATCACCATCTACTATCAGGGTTTCTCAGATGGACGTTTATTTGTGTTACCGGAGACCTATTTATTTTGAAAAGGAACATTCAGATAAGTGTCAGTGTTTCATGTGTAAAGATTCTTCTTAAGGTGATTTGTCTTTGTTCATTGCTGCTGGACCTGTGTATTTTACCTTTTGAATATTTGCAGTAGTTTTATACATTGAACTGGCTACACATAGACTGAAATTCAAAAGTGGAGTATAAATGGTGTTGTTGGTATATAGTGTGTATTCATAAATAGATGTCTAAACCTACTTGATGAATAGACAGTGACTAAGACGTTCTATCAATGGCTTTTATTTGCTGCAGTGGTACATTGGTTTCCTCCACTGGTTAACTGGACAGTTTTGGCAATGAGTTTAAAAAGCATGTTGGCAATTTTGGATTGAATTATTCTTCAGACTGCTCTTATATTAAAGCTTTTCTCTCCAGTCTCTTCTCTGAAGACGTCTCACCAAAGCAAAGCTCCGCTCTCGTCATTTGTCTGAATAATTGTCCGTCTGGCAGTAATGAGTGAGTCAGAAGCCTTTTTCTTCTGGAAATCTTTTATACGTCACCACTTTAATCATAAAGCTTCACAAAAGCATTTTATGTTTTTAAAAATAGTGCAGGTGTGAGAAAGAAACTCATGTTATGTTGGGTTGCATAGTAACACAATGACTGTCCGAAACTGCCTTGATGACTGAACAGGTGGATGTTTGTGAAAACACCTAATAAGGAAACTAGGTTCAGACACCATAACATCATGCTTAATGATCTAGAACAAATTAAAAAAGGAATTACTCATAACCAAGCAAATGTTTAATGACTATAATACTTAATTCTTGCAAGAAATCATAAGTTGGAAAAAAATTGAAAATGTTTTAGTTGACTCATTTTAAGCAAAGCTAAATTTTAAACAGTGCTTTCGTCTAAATCTTGGATTCAGACTTTCCTTACTGCTACTGTTTATAGTTTTTGAAGGAAAATGTTACGTATGATTTCATTTTTAAGGAATAGTTCACCTAAAAATGAAAATTGTCATTTACTCACCTTCATGTTCTTCTAAAAGGAAAAAAAACTTGTTTGTTTGTGTTTGTTCTTGTCAGCCTGCTGTGTATGCGTAATGTTGTAGTCTGTACTGTAACAACAACTAAATATTAACTATAGGGCTGCCACTAACGACTAATTTAGCGATTAATCTAAACGATTAATTTCCCACAAAAAAAAAAAACTATTTTAAAGAACATTTTATTAAACTTGCAACTTAGTCATTCAGTAGTGTACCGTAAAAAAAGTATAAATGTAAACAAGCCATTGACGAAATGTAAAACTAAAAGAGTACAAATGTAAACAAACCTAATAAAAAGAAAATAATTACAGAAGTCTGAGAAAGTCAGCATGTTCTTAATGTCAATATATCCACATGTTCTGGGCTTCTGTTCATTACAGCTGTGAGTGCAACTACAAAGGGGGTGGGGGATGTTTCGATTAACCCCAACAGTTGGGTTTTCACATTAAATAAATGCAATGTTTAGAGTCCACTAGAATGAAGTATTAAAATTATATTAAGTTATTATTAAAAATTAAGTATTAAAAGTACTCTTAGAAATGTGTAAACAACAGATTTAAACAGACATCTCCAGCATGATGAAAAAAATGAACAGAGGACTTCAGTAGTGAAACTCCAAATGAAATCCAAATTTCTATGAAATCCTTTTTTTAAAGCAAAAGTAAAGTGCAACATAGAGTGCAAGAAGCAAGTGTCCATCTCATAGTCCAAATCACCGAAATCAAAGTTCAGTATTATAGTGTAAGAATAACAATAACTTAAGAATAACAGGTCCTCGTGTTCTGGTCTACTAATAATAAAATATTAGAATTAATAATACATTTTTGTGGTAATAAAAATAGATGTAGGTTAAGTGAACAATAGCCTTTAAATTTACTTAATACATATATAATCGCAATGAGGCAATAATAATTAGTTCAAATAAACTATCAAAAGCAAGAAAACAAAACTGTTAAAATACTGTATTATAATGTAATAGAGCCACTGATCTATATATAATTATAAAATAATATAATCTCTATTATAGATCAGTGAATAGAGCTAATGTACAGTACGCATTACAACAAAGGCCTGCAGGGGGCGCCAACGGCCTGGCGATTGTTTTTACACATTACTGTGCGATCTAATACTTGTTTAATATTGACCAAGCATCATTTAATTCAAATGTCCACTTAATCTTTAATATTTGGCCATTTCTTTATGACAGAAATGCTATAGCCACTGTAATTAAATTAATATGTGGACATGAAACGTGTAAACTCAAGAGTGAGGGTTTGAGCTTTCATTTTGAAACTACGAGATAATGATGTATTCTCCTGTGTTTGCGTGGAATTATAAATGATTTACCTTACAAATCTGATGAAATGGCGCACGTTGCATTCCCAGATGAGCGTTATAATAAACCCAAACTCACAACAACGTGTACAGATGGAGTTTGAGACGCTCCACACATGTAAATGATAACGGTTCCTGTGGAACAGCATTTACTGTGAATGGAGTCGCTGTGAG